ATGTCAGACTTGAAAACTCAATCGAATAGTATTATCATTGTAATTATTTGAAGTAAAGAGAGACACAATAGCAAGACAATATTCCTTTTATTGTATAAAGAGTTTAATCATTGAGTTTTGCGTCATTCTAGCCATTTATTTACTATGTAACAAACCGAGTTATTGTACTCGACAAGGGATATCTTCGTGTGCATGTGATGTCATAGTCACGCAAAAAAYCTCGCAAAATCCAAAATATTTTTGCTAAAGAGCTGTTCTTACAGTATATCTTAAATATATTCTAGATAGATAGATAGATATCTAGATAGTGTGTATGGAAATTTTCAGACGAATTCAACGCTTTGGTGGCGAATCACAAAAGTTTTAGTTTGTGCGGAGTTTAATTTATTCTACTTTTAGATCGTAAACAAAAACTTCGAAATTGGATAAATCATTCCTTCAACTCCGTAAGAACTTACTTAAGGTGATTTTTCTTTGAAATAAAGCCATAATWGAACAAAATTTACAAAGGAAATCAAGGAAACCAGAGTTTTTGAAGTCAATTTGAAACCAGCCGCCATCTTGGATGGTTATCATCCAAGATGGCGTCCCCATACAAATTAACCAAATATTTCAAATCTTTATTCGCTGATATCTTCATCAGAAAGTAAGCTGCAAGCCTTAAAGCTCGTATTCTAGATAATCTGACTATGCTCTTTKTGACTCGCTACTTGGTTTTTGAAAATAACGACTAATAAATTTTCACTTTGGGGGTTGCACACCAAGAATATACACCGGTTGCTTTGATTGAACGTAAAATTATACAAGCGAATAAGAAATAAATTCTAAAGAAAYATCAACTCAAGCTAATTCGTATATACATAATGGCTTCCTATTAGTTTGAGACTATTTAATCACAAGTTTTGGGCCCGTTTAACGGTACTCTGCGAACAGAGGTACTTTTGTTTACATCCAGAAGTTTGGATGTAATAATCGGAAGTAGGCAGAGGTTATTTTTCTCTCGCTTCTCGGCGGGTGAGAAAAGTACCTCTGTTCRCAGAGTAGTTTAACGGCCCGCTTTCGCTTTACTTTTGCTCACGAAAACTTTATAGAATATAATTTTCCGCTTCTTTGCATGCGCTACGCGTYGTGGTTTCCTACGCTTCTCTCGTGCTCTCCCTACATCCCGTGTGTTTTGATCAGAGTATCAAACACGGAATTTCGTCTTTTATTCCTTAAATCAAAGTTAAGAGCCCTACACGTTATAATCTTAAGTCAGAATAGAAATTCGTTGCGTTTAACTACCCATTACCGATGACTAAAAATGGCGAATTTACCAAGGATTAGTATGCAGCATTGTAAAGTTTGTCTGAGTTCTCGACGGGGTGCAAAATGTGTGACGTCATCTGTGCGGAGCGCTATTGAAGCGCGCAGCGACATTGAAATTTTGTCTTGAAAAACAGGCWAATAGAGTCATAAAAATCAACCAAAATAATAATGGCAATTGGTCTAAGCATTARATAAAGATTTCTTACCTTTTTACGAAGTGATAAGGACGAAAAA